TATATATATATATATATATATATATATATATATATATATATATACACACATATATACACACCTTGCTACGTGTACTGTGTTAGGCTAACCGAGACTTGTCATTTGCACTTATATATTGTTGCTCTTTTGTTAGTTTTGACTGCTTTTATTGTCCTCATTTGTAAGTCGCTTTGGTTAAAAGCGTCTGCTAAATGACTAAATAAATAAATAAAAATAATACCATGTATCCGCGGACCCTGCTGACCAGGTCGGGTGGAGGTCTCTCCATGTTGCCTTCGGCAGCGCCTGCCTCGTGACCTCTGACCTCCATCAACAGCAGCTCGTTGAGCATGACCTGACGCAGCTTAGGAGAAAACTCTGTCACCAGCTCCAGGCACGCCGTGAACAGCTGACGAGCGTGTGTAAAATCCTGCAGCAGCCAAAGAGACAAAAAAAGTGGCTCAAACTACAAACTAAAAGAAAGCTGACATGTGAAAGTACAATATATAAGCCTCGGTGTAATCTTTAATTCAAAACTTTCATTTCTGCACTGTCTCTTCATGTGCCGCTTTGTAAAAACAAACTAACATAAAAGAAATATTTCCCAGAAATAAATCCCGGCTAAATTCAATTAAACTGCCTCCGTTTTTCAAGTGAATTACAAAAACGTGGCACCCATACCACATGAATACAAATGATAAAATTATTTATTTGAACTGAGAATTCTTCGGTTTCTTTGGGACTTAAAAGAGAGGTTACTCTACAATAAAAACATACTGCAAGCTTCAGAACTCAAAACTAACTCTACAATTTAAAAAAAGAATTATTCTTTTCTGCCCTTCTGAAACACCCAGATTTGAAATCGGGAGACATCCTGTAAACACCATGTTGCTAATAAAATTAGTGCAAATTCACATACATACAACATCTTCTGTAATCAAGTAATTATTGTACTCTTAAAACTATAGACCGAAAATTAAGCAATTAAGCAAGCAAAAGCAATTACCACATGGAAACAGACGGATGCAATTATTGTGGTTGCATTGTTTCAAGCTGACTCTACAGCTCTATCTCAATGCTTTAAACTCGAGTATCAAAACACATTACATGCTGTAAAGGAGGTCATGAATACACTGTGATGCGTTTCTGCAACAGGTAAAGCCCCTTTCACTTCTGTTTTTCAGAAAGTGAAAATAAGGATGAAAATGTTTAATTTTTAAAAATATTGGACCTTTTTTGGTGCAGAGAATTTGCAAAAGTGTCACATTTAGATTTATTCATTTGATAGACGCTTCTATTCAAAGCAACTTACAGCTGAGGAATACAACAAGCAATTTTATGCATTTCAGGGCTTTTGCCGAAAGCATGTAAATGTGAAAGTCATTTTCCTTACACAGTTTAAGGGATTAAGTGAAAACAGATTAATTTGGGTTTCTGTAGTAGGATGCATCTTTAGTGGGCATGTAAGCGCAGATTTTTGAAAAGTTTGCATGTGCATGGAAATGATTAGATAACTAAAGTAAAGCAAAGGTGTAGATAAAGCTGTTTATTGATCTAGATGACTGTGTTCCAGGCACATCACTAAAATAGTGCAATCAACATGAACATTGCTTTTGTGCCTTTAGCAGCTTTCGGTTCAAAACCGTCTTTCTGGTGTGCATATAAGCATACTGAATCATGTTGAAGGGAGTCTTGTTCAGATACACACCTTTATACTGATGCAGTGCAGACCCTTGGCCATAAGGATGTACACCAGGTCTCTTGTCAGGTTGTCTTTTATTGCTAGTATGACGTTTACATAGTCAACAGGAACCTCCCACTACAGGAAGAAATACAGTTGCAAGACTTAAAAAGATGTTGCAAATCACAATGTCAACAACTCTTAATTTATTATTTTTGAAAACTGACAAGCATTTGTCATGAATTGACCTTGCAAATCAATCAAATAAATTCGAGTTATTAGTTAATTTGCTGCAAAATCCTGAAAAAAAACAGCAACAAAGCACTGAACCCAGTCTGTTACTCAATCAGCACTAATAAAAGACATAAGACTAGATTATCTACATCATTTCATGTTTTAAAGGTGCACTAAGCGTTTTTGCCAAATGATGTTGATATTTTAAGGAACCAAAACAAACACGCCCATAGCCCAACAGGACCTCGCCCCTATTTTGATATCTCCGCCCCACATGTACGTACACAACCCTGGAATGACGACGATCGCGGAAACAAGCGAAGGTGACACACACAAGCATATTCAAACAAAAGTCAACGCAGATCAATTGTGTGAAACAATGCAAAATCAACATTACTCACCTATCAAGAAGAAAAACAACGCAGCCCTGGCGTCCGATTCGAGCCCTTCCTGCTCTTTGAGTTTCTCTCCAGCGCTGGAAAGCTGCTCCGATATTTACGAGGGTCCTACCTCTTGCCTGATCATAACCCTTCTTTTTAATGTTTTGTTCCTCCGATATTTTCCTTTTTTTTATCTTCCAATTCTCTCTATCTATAGTCGATCTGCTAATATCCGTCTGTGCACTCAAACGGAGCGCTCTCTGTCTCTAGGCCTGGGCGATATGGGCAAAAATTCATATCTCATAATTTTTTGGCCGATTTGCGATATATAGTATATATCTGTATTTTCGATTTTGTATCTGGATTTTTTTTTTTATCTGTATTTATTATATATACTTTACATACCGCCCAATGTTGTCCAGCAAAACAATATTAAAGGCTATGAAAACTAATAAAGTGAATTAACAATGTAAGCCTATATATTATGTGCAAAAAGGGTCAAAATCACATTTCATTCTAACATTGAAACATTACAATCTAAAAACTAAAATAATGCTTTTAAAGCAGAAGTTAAATTCAAAAGCACAGACTTGTATTAGGCTATTTTGATTACCCCATTACAGTCACTTTACAGTTAGTGCTATCTTAAAAATACACTTACTTGTAGGTTTAAAATTCTACACATCACATTGTCCAACTACAAATATTTCAGCGAAATGTATATTTTAGTCAGAGTTATTGCGCTCCTATTTCATTGCGCTCTGTCTGTTTGGTGCGCGGCGGCGCTCGTTCACTGAAGTCTGTGAAGCTTAGCGGAGAACCCCAAAGTAAAAGCTCATGCACTCCTGACAGCAAAATGGAAATATTTCCATGGCTTTCTAACATTTACAGATGGAGAATATACCTGTGAAATGTAAGTTATGCATTCAGGAAAACAGCACATCACAGACACATTAAACAGCTCAAGTAGAGTCTCTGTCAGTGGCACGCAGTGTTTCTGTCAGAACTATACCAAACTATAAACTATACTATATCTTACAAGTTTTTTAAAGCCCTTAATACAAAGCTCGTCACATGTTTAGAACAAATTAGATTATGCACTTTCTCCGCAGCGGCTGAGTCTGTGTCCTCCACTATATTTTTCAGATGCTCTCGTATCAAACTACTGTATATCGATATAAACGGTATGGGCTCATACTGTATCGCTTATAAAGAATATATCGATATATTGTACAGACTCGATATACCACCCAACCCTAGCGCTCTCTTCTCTCTATCATTAAAAGACACGCCCCTCACTGCTGATTGGCTACAAGTAGGGATGCATGATATTGGATTTTTGCCGATATCCGATATGCCGATATTTTTCAACTCCTTTTGGTTGATACCGATGCCGATATACTTCCTTTTGTTTGGAAACAACACCAAGTCTCTCTTGTGCAGAAATTATAAGCAAAACATTTTTAATTTTGGTTAGTTTTTAACTAGCAAAAGAGTTGTAAAAATTCTGAAAATCTTTTAGAGCTTATGATTTGTTTAAAAAAGAAAACATATTACCTATTAATGAATAAATCAGTGTATATAAAATTATTCAATTTACAATTGTCATGCTTGTGATTTTTTTTTTTTCATGTAAGCTATAACTTCTGACCTTTAAATCAAAGCATACTCATTATTTTATGACATCAATTACTGCTTTATTTAATTGTTGTGCTGCTTAATTTTTTTTTGGAACCTGTGATACTTTTTTCAAGATTCTTTGAATGAAACGTTAAAAAGAACAGCACCTAAAAAATAGAAATCTTTACTATCAATTTTTATCAATTTAACATATCTTTGTTGAATAAAAGTGTTAATTCCTTTCAAGAAAGAAAAAAAAAATATATATAGAAAACTGGTATTTTAAACTGCAGTAATATTTTACAACATTACCATTTTTTCTGTATTTTTGATCAAATTAATGCAGCCTTGATAAGCATTAGAAACTTCTTTAAAAACATTAAAAGTCTTCCTGAACCCAAACTTTTTCTTTAATCTAAAATCCAATGATGATACATGATATAAAAAAATAGTTCCTGTTTATGCAGACTGCTGCAGCATTTCCCCTCCCCCATGTGAAATTCACTTCAAACAAATCTACCCTTGAAAAGCACGTGAAAGCAAAGAAAAAGACATGAATCGGATAAGTCAAAAGTCTGGCAAGGTGAAAAGTTTTTTTTTAATGTAAAATGTAAGGGTGCTCACTTGATGAAAATGGCGATTTTCCTCTTGCTTGTTTCAGACCTGTGCTCCTTATCCAGTGACCTGTACACACCTGGAGAGAGCAATAGACAGCACTTTATTTCATCAGAAAACCATGTGAACTAGATCAGTTTAGTAAAGGATCAGAGTGTGTAATGTATATGATTCAGTGATGCAGCAGGGTTTATACCTCCAGCAGAAAACTGATGGCGTTTTTGCTGGGTTTGAGGAGCAGCTGATGGAAGGACACACTGAGGATGCCACCCTCCAGTGCATCTCTCACTGCGTTACACACACACAGTTTATGACACACTTCCTCCAGAGACCTGTCCCTGTCATTTAAAACACACAGACACACAAACAGTATATTGAAGGAATATACAACAAGCTCTATGGACAGCGTGTGTGGCATGTCATTTACCACATTTATTTACTACACTTATAATGGAATTCTATGAGGAAAGACATCCAGGGAGTTTATAAGCAAAATATACTACAGCTTTGATTACATTAATTCTGTAAGAATTTTGTAGAAGGAAAACGGGTTTGTATCTTCTTATTTTGAACCCTTAAAGAAGGGGGTAGAGGAAATGTCTGTATTTCATTTCTGGCTTAAAAAGGGGAAAAGGGATGTACACAGATGTTTTATACTGTACTGTCAAATGCAGTGATCTGCATGGTTGCCCTTTGCTTGCTAGGCTTTCATTGAGTTCACAAGAAAATTAAGCTGTGATCACAAGAAAACAACTTATGCAGTGATCAATCGAAAATAAGAAAGAAAAAAAATAATAATCCATCGCCTCTTAGGGCTTCCGTGAAACACATTCCATACTGAGGAACGAGTCTCTGAACATTTGTGTGGAGATAGATGGTGATAGATTTAAATCCTAAACACACATACAATCATCCATTGAGCATCTAAACAGCATCTCACCCTTGTTGAAGCTTGTGCAACAGCTCTAGCTGAATTGAATGTCTGAAGCTGTTGGGTAGACTGAGTGTAACGTTGTCTCTGATGAAGGCCTCGATCAATGCCTACAACATGAAGACAGAAAACAGAGACAGTAACGGTTACTGTTTTATTTAATCAGAAACACAGTCTAAATGTTATTTGTGTAGGCTATTTTACTTTTAATTTAATTAGAAGTAGGCCAACCGCGCCCCCTACAGATTAAAACTCCTTACCGTTACTTACACTGTTGACTCTGTCATACACAAAACGCGTCATTCTGTACATGTTTTTCTCAGTTTAAATGCAGTGATCCAATAGAGTGAATCTAATCACCATTCAGGCAAAACTTTGCTTCAAGAATGAGTCACACTGCTGAAGTGATCTAATCACTAGCACACCCTGAGCACATGTGAGTTAACGTATTCCTCTTTTCGGTAAGACATATCGGCATCATTTTTCATATCGGGCCACTGCCGATATTTACATTTAAAGCCATTATCGGCCGATTCCGATATCAGTCCGATAATATCGTGCATCCCTAGCTACAAGTGTGTTTTGGGACTTGGTCCGACACTGCGGTCAAAAGCGTTTTTCAAAAATTGCTTAAAGCACCTTTAAAATGAGGCATAATGGCATTAAAATCATAATGTGACCTCTGATGGTCTTTCCTGACCTTACTATTAACCCTCCAGAAGGGTCGTTCGGCCATCCCGTGCAGCTCGATGAGGAATTGTCGGATGTGTCGAGGATCCAGTGACAGAATGAGCTGCTGTTCAAGCTGACTGATATTCACACTGGCAGACGCTGGTGAGAACATAACACAAAGAACACATCACCCAACAGCAAGAACAGTTCTCCAGATCACGAAATCTTCATGTAATTCATATGGTCATGATTTAACGTCTGCCCTCCAGGATGTACCGGGTATATCGTAGAATGAGGGCAGTTGTTTGGCACTGAGGTTGACTGTGGCTGAGCTCTTCCTCATCTGCTCCATCAGGATCTTCTTCTCCTCATCGTGAAGGAGTTCCATGAAGAGTTTATGAGATGAGACCATGAAGGCCAGAGAAATATCTTCCAGCCTGTTACAAACTGTCCTACAACGAAAACAAACTAACAGCTATACGTCATGGAATCTTTGTAGTATAGTATTTTCACACAATGATACAATTTAAAATAAAATACAATACAATAGCTAGCACAAGAAAATGGTAAACAGTTACAAGACCTAATATATAAATACTTATATAGATCATACATAATCTAAAATCCAATTATGACCTTGTGCAACAGCTCTAGCTGAATTGAATGTCTGAAGCTGTTGGGTAGACTGAGTGTAACGTTGTCTCTGATGAAGGCCTCGATCAATGCCTACAACATGAAGACAGAAAACAGAGACAGTAACGGTTACTGTTATACAAATTCACATTCCACCAACTGCACAATCATGTCAAGCTCCAGTCAATGTGTGGCTGAGGTTTATATAGGTTATAGGAGGAACAAAAAATCAGTTATGCAGATTTATGTCTCTACAGTGGACTTGACCTTTTACCAACCAGAAATGTTTCTTATAAGCAGTATAATATTTTTTATAAACAGTATGCTATGATAGAGAGTGCTGCCAGGGTGGAGTATGAAATATGCTCTATGTTGAAGGGTTCAACATACACCAAAAACAAAAAGCTGGATAACCACTTTATGACATATCCCAAAAACGTTCAAGCTGGTAGTTATCAAACCCTTATCAAAAAGCCCCAGCTAGTCCCATGAGAAGTGGTTAATTGTAGAGCAATCTCAAATGTCCCATTTATGTCTAGTAGTAGTGTTGCCCTAACCAACTGTTCATTTCTGCAGAACCGTTTTCTGTGAAGAGTTTCCTATCCAATTGCTACCAGTTTGTTTGTGTTAATTGTGGGATGGAGTACGGAGTACCACAGGGTTCAGTATTAGGTCCTCTACTATTCTCTTTGAATATGCTTCCCTTGGGAGAGGTTACCATGGCAGGAACCATGGCATTAGTTTACACTTATGCAGAAGATACTCAGCTTTGTATTTCCACCAGTCCTACCTCAATAGACCTTTATCACACTTCCTATATCCGGTAAGTGAAGCAGCGTCTCGCCACTTCCGGTCCCATCGCAACGCAATCAAAACTAATGGGCGAATCCTCTCTTTCCTTTATTTTTTTCTTCTCTTGCTACTGCTGGTACTGCAGTGTACCTGGCTGCTTTAATTCTAAACAATGACAAACTGCCTAAGTTTTCACGATTTTCTGACACAACACGATTTGAGGAAAGCATGGATGAGACTGATGCAGAGGGATGAAGGTCCTTCTCAAATATTATGCGGGAGAATGTTCGTGCGTAGTATGCATTTTGAAACTGAGGATGTTTAGGGCTACATCTCATATCTTCAACCTGCTGAAATGTTCCTATCAATATATTTCCTTACCAAATGTGCATTCTGAATAAATACATTTATTTCCCAACTAACCTGCTGCAGTCAAGTTTGTCTTTTCATTAACAATGTTTTTTCTTACTGATCATATTTCATACCTGTTTACATTTTTTAAATGTATTTGACTAAACACCCTTACAAAAATTAACCATGGTTTTATTATAGTAAAAAACGTAGTAACCATGTTTGTTTGGGGGTTTTTTCGTGGACTGATTTCCATTTGTATTACCACAGTTTTACTACACATACTATCGTTGAACTATGGTTAGCAAAACCCATGGTTAATTTTTGTAAGAGCAGTATTAAAATAGAAGTTGCCTTAAAGAAATTTTTCAATGTTAAACATTTAGGCTAATTAATCTTAAACAGTATAATGCATTGACAGCATGATTTTGAATATTAATTAAGAATTTTGGCATAAATACATGAATTACAAACAGTGAAATGACTGTGAAAAATGACAGAATAATGACTAAAATTTAATACAAATTAATAAATATGTTCTGATCTTTTTCATCAGGTCTAGCACACACTGCAGCATCACAGTCACTATTAAACGAGCACTGTGTGGTGAAATCATCTCGCATGTTTACGAGCCAAGGCTTTCTCAGATCGGCTTATGTTGGATTAAAACTACAGGTTCCGTTGAGTTTAGAAAATTCTGTGCACAGTAATCATCAGAATATCTATTCACCTGTCTCTGAAAATGAACGGATTTTGAAATCATCCAGCAGATGCTCATTTTAACAGGTATTTATTCAACTAGGTGATTAGGAAGAATTGATACACTGCTTCGGCGAGCACTTTCAGTAATCAATTCCGCTGTGATAAAGGTCTATTCTCCAAGTTAGCAAGCAGATGCATTAGTAATATCAAAGACTGGATAGCTAGTAATTTCCTACTTCTGAAATCTGACAAAACAGAGGAATGTATTAGTTAGGTATTAGTTAGCCTGAAAACCTCTGAACATAAGACAATAAAACAATGTTTTTGATGGATTTACTGTTACACAGACTTCCACAGTTAAGAACCGTATGTCTGATAGAAATCTGTTCTTTGACAATCATATTTCCAATGTTATTAGAAGACTTGTTCTACCTTATAAGTGTTGCTACACTAAGATATGCTCTCTGTTTCTGATGCTAAAAAGCTCATTTATGCATTCTAGACCTTAATACTGAAAAGTCTAACCAAATTCTGCAGGATTACTTGAAAACTACAGGCAGGCGTGTTTGATTCTTTTCCATTTGGCTCCTTAACTATAGACCAGTCATTGTTTAGGACTCAGAGACACTCTCTCAGTTTGAGCATAAACTAAAGGCCTATTTTTTTATTAGTCCAGCATACACCTATTTAATTCATTCATACCTCACTGTTATTCTTCATTATTCAGGTCCTCTGGAATTGAAAACATCTCTCATATACTACAAGTCTGCTCTAAATGATTTAACATGATCTCTAAGGGAATATTAGTCTTTTGCATTTCTTCCTATCCTTAGGAGACATATCCAGCAGATCCAGCTCTGGCCCGGCTTCATGTTGCTCTTTGATGCAAGGGGCATCTCTACGATCAGTGTCTGCATCTATTTAGTCTTCTTCAATAAAATGCACAGAGAATAAACTACTATACTGCTTCCAGATGTACACTACACCTACCTGATGAACCATAATGTTCAATCCTGAATAGACTTTAAATAATTGGCCCGCTGGTGTAGCCTGGTTTCTATTAAGGCAGTGGTCTCAAACTCAGTTCCTGGAGGGCCACAGCTCTGCAGAGTTTGGCTCCAACCAGCTCCAAATCACACCTGCTTGGAAGTAGAGATCGACCGATATATCAATTTACCGATATTTTTCCCGATATTTAAGCATTTTACAATAATCGGATATCGGTTTTGTAATATCGGATTCACCGATAAACGCCGCCATCTTGTGGATGTTTTGAGAATTGCGCGCAGGATCACCATTGCAGCACGTCTGAGAGGAAACAAGACAACAACAACGGCGTGCACAGTTACTTGATTTACTGTAGTTAGTCAACTTTATTTAACATAACAGCCATTAATGCACAAATTAGATGTATTACATAAATGCTTGATATGTAGTTTATGCAGCTTGGCTCGAAGAAATAGAGACGAACTCACGGAGTCACGTAAAATAATCCATCAAGTCCTGTCTCAATAAAGACGTAACTTTGCGTGAATTAAATCATATGCAACCATGAATGGGCGCATTTTGGAAATAAAAGTGCTGAATTTAATTCGCTCTCTGTTGTCTATGCTCATC